TCATGACAGTTTGAATTCTATAATATAAAATCTGCATATGACGTATGATATACGCGTATGAATACCGTTTGAGAGGATTTCGAAACGATTTCATAATATTATTATATAGGTATACATGTCTTTAGTTTTTTATGGTACATTCTTTCGAAGACAATATTTTTTGTAGTTACTACTTTTTTCTCATAAACCATAATTAAGTCGCGCGCTAAGGTCTGAGTTTCAGTTGACAAACGCCCTAATTGTTCAATAATGTCGTGTCTACTGCAATAGTATTGTTTTTATCAGGCGTTTGAATGCGGCCGACTGTTACGGACTGGACGAGCTGCGAGCCGCCTGTACGGGTTTTGCCGACACGGGCGGCGGTATCACCGTGGACACAGCTTGTGCGTTGTTGGCGTCCGCCGAACGTTACATCCACTACAAATGCACCAAATCGTTGGTGCAAAAAGTACGAATGGGATGGGTGAGGGGTGAGGGGGTAAACCACTGTTGGCGATTTCGTGTATAATATGTACCTCATGGTTATAATAATTTACATTAATATATGATTATTGTTGATTTTGTGAATAATATTATTTCCGAAGACCATTGGAAAATTTCTTACAAATCCCACTGAGCCTGCGATATTATTATAGAGAAGACAGATTTTAAAATTCAAAACCTGGGACTAAAAATAACGCAAAGTTTTTATATTAAATTGTTGTCGACTTCCACATACATATAAACACTTTTTTTTCGAGTGTATGCACCTTGAATATGTACGATTGACAGAATATTATTATTCTAGTGCGTGGTCGCGTGGGAGTTAGTTTTAACATCTGGTTCTAAAAATATTTGATAAAAACTATTATACTAAAACCAAACGATATGTTTCCGTTTTATTGATCTCCGAAAAAGGATACATACACCAAGTATGCTCAAGCCTAGTTTTTCGTCAAATAAAACATTTATTCAAATTATAGTTTTTGGAATATTTAAATATACCTAATAACAATATTTTCAAATCGTTAAGATTTTTGGTATTACTTAAGGAGTAACGGTACCTACACAGTACACACTTCTGTTTTTTAACTAAACCCCTATGTTCTTAATTCACAATTCGAACAATTAGTTTCCCAGATACCTATTAAAATGTATATAATAAGGATAATATACTTATATACCTGAAAATGGTTTTAAAAAATTATAAAATAAATATAATATTGGAGCTAGTATTCATTATACTTGAATTATTTTTACCAAAAATAAATGTTGATAGATTATGTATTATTAATTACAAATATTTTCAAATCAACTAATTTATAATCTCATTTAATCTCATTATGAAGCTATTATTTTTGGTACTCAAAGTTAAATAACTCAACAACTACTTGTAAAAATGTTGATAACTTTTTCAAAAAAATAATCCACTAAATAATTTATAGAAGGAAAGGGGCATTTCAATCAGAAGTTTGTGATCTCCACAGTTCGACACTACTTAAGTGTTAAATAGTACAAAAAAATCTCAATAATTTTAAAATATGGTATTTTGGTACATTTAAAAATTCAAAAATCAGATTTGCACTAACTAAATAAAAAAAATGGGGTGAGACACTTTCATTTTTTTTTTTTTTTTATTAGAATGTTTCTTATAAAATATATTAGTGATAAAAACTATAAAATTAAAATTAAAATAGTTTTACGTTAGTCGATCTCCTCAAAGGAAAAATATATTCTCAGTAGAGTTTAATCAAAAATATGTTGGCCACCCCTGCACTGTATATAGTATACAAGAAGTGTTTTTTGTAAAACGAGACATATTGGTTTCCCAAATAAAGTAGTCAGGACAAAAAGCATAAATTACTTTAAAAAAAAATGGAAACCCCAATGTTTATGCCTTTGTAGGATGTCTGATGATTATACAGCCTTTACAATATCGATACAATAAATGATTCCGCCAGTTGATGAAAATACCAGCCATTGCAATAACCGATATGCACGCTCATTGCCGGTGGTGATTTACCCTCTAGTTGTGTCTCGCATACATTAATACGCCGATGACATAAATTATACATATTATTACATTTATATGACGACGATACACATTACCTCTACCCGCCCAACCCACCTGTTATACATGTATATACGTACCTAAATATTATCTTGTGTGCGCGTGTAAAATATTCGTTTGATGTTGTGAAATGTAATTATTATCACCACCATCATCATCATCATCATCATCATCATTATTATCATCATCATCATCATCATCATCATCATCATCATCATCATCATCATCTTTTGTTACCTATGTACATAATACAATATTATATTATATTGTTGGTTTAATCGAGCGTTGGTTTTATTTTTGATGTTATAAATTACGTTTGTTTTTTTGTACTATTCCCTTTAGTTGTACTCTTGCGTGTGCCGTGAGTGTATCTGTGACCTGTGTGTGTTTAAACTTGGGTCTTGCCATGACAGTGGGGTGTAATGTTTTTCTTAGTTTTTATAATTAATATTTTTTTTTGTTTTGTGTTTGTGTGTATAATGCAATAAACAACCCATCATATTAGTTGTCGGCGGGATTTTTTTCACTCCCTATCAGGTCCTATCACGTATGATACGTGGCATAGATCATCGCGCTATTCGCACATACTATCACCATGGTAACTGGACACTGGAAACTGGACCTGAAACTGTACACAACTTGAAAATACTAATACATGGTCACAACTAGACCTCTAAAACGTGGGTGCTATAATATTTCATATTTTAAAAATATAACATTTATAGTATTTCACTATAATAATGATAGTAAAAAAAACAAGGCGTGCTAAATTAAAACTCGGGGGTGCTAAAGACCCTTTTCACTCTCTAGTTTTGCCAATGATCACCATCATCATATCCGTTATAAGCTATCATATTATACACAACCATATGGCATATAATATACTATGTTACCTTCAAATACGTAAATTAAGAAATTAACGTTAATAACTATATATTCAATAACGATATTTCCGATTAAATTATAAACTGGAGTATACGATATTTAATAGGAAATAACGTTAATGGCCATTATTTTCAGGCGATGATGCATTTCGAAATATTCCCTAGGTAATGATGACGATAATTCAAGAAATTTTTAAAAATAATTGATAAAAATGTTCATTGAATTTGTAGATGTAGAAAATGACCAACGGGCCTGCGCACAGTAGTCTGAAATGCTATTTTAGCGGCTCAAAAGTCCCATTCCAAAATAAATTTAAAAAAAAAAACCTTAATTTAAATTATTATCATAATATGTTTCTTAAGTCAAATATAAAATTTTATAATTATACGTTTATTTTGAAGTTGTTTATAACTAGGGCAGTGAAGTAATTACATTAAAAAACACACTAAATTGATTGCATTATTGCATTAAAATATATTAAAAATTGCACTTCTAAATTTCATTGAAAAAATTTAATTATAATCAATAAAATTAAATATATTAATACATAATAATAATAAAAATTAAATATGAACATTGCTTACATTATTGCATTGCACTACAAATGATTTTTTTAAGTTTTCAAAATCGAATGATCAAATTTTTGTATCGGGAGAAACTTTTTTCTAAGTCAGTAGTTGTTATTGGCGCGTACTTGAAATAGATTAAATCGTTGCTGGTCAAGTCTTCTGGCAAGCCCTCCATTGACTGTATTTCTCCACTTAGTATTTTTGATACACAAAAAATTATTTGATATCCTTCATTTTTTTGTAAAATAGTTTTGAATTTCTGGTTTATTAATATTCCATTTTGTCCCGTAATTTTTTCTATTTTAGTGTCAACGTTTTTAGCTATAGATAAGCTTCGATTAATGGAACATGTTGGGTTTCGAGTTTAGTGATTTCTGCTTGTATGAAACCATAATTGGAATGAATGAATGCCAAGTTGGTTTCCATAGAACTATCCGACAAAAGATGTTGAGCTTGTTCAATAGAAATAGCATCATTTGAATTTAATAATTGTATTACTTTTTTAACTTCTACAAAATTTTCACAATAGTAGGATGTGCGGATGATTCTTGCAACCCCACTACTGTTAGGATTTTGGTATTTTTAAATATAACTGAATGCTGATAGACGATAATATATGTTATTGAGGGACAAGTTTTTATCTTAACGACCAAAATGCAATAATCGCTCTATAGAAATAATAAGTAGGTGTTACAACTAATATAGAAATTTGTTCACTGCTACGTTTGGTTACTTTTATTTTATATATTAAGTTATATAATCTTAAATGTAAACGAAAATTATGAAAAATATTTAAAATTGCAGTAAAATTAAAAAAATCGCCAAAATTGCATTTATTGCAATATAATTTTTTTTTGTTTAAATTAAGAGTTTAACGAAACATATTTTAAGCTCACTCAGCAATAAATATAACCATTTAAAAAAAACATGCAAATGCAACAACTTCACTGCCCTATTTATAACTATATAAACGTGACAACGTGGAAATAGTATGTCTTATGATATTTGTCCATTCATTTTGAAACAGTAGCTCTTAGGCCTGATTCGTAGTTTTGAAATAATAAATTCGTTTTTATGGTATCAGTTCGTATCTTTATTTCTATGGTAGATATTATTTATGTACAAGGATTATGACGAGAACGCTAGCACGGCATCCAGACTGAAAAGTGGCTGCCGAGTTCGGCGTAATTTCACGGCAGGCCAAGGGCTCCGTTCTATTTACAATATAGGGTAATATATATCTGGGGGTTATACAATACTAGGAAAAAGGGTCGACCACAAGTAGTGTATAGCTATCAATAATGACTACTACTGTGAATCTGACCCGGGAGTGGCCGCCTCTCAAAAGCGGCCGAGGGTTGATAGGGGGATTCCGTTTGTAGTGAGTCCGAGCCGGCTGGATGGTGAGAGACGTGCCTCCGTATCCCTGGTACGTGGTTGATACATTTGGATGCGGTGGGTGACGTCTCCGTAGACCACCCGCACGACGCGAACGTATGGTTCTCGGGCACCTGGTGGATTTCACGGAGCGACGTCTGGTCGCCCCTGGTCGCTGGTATTGGCTAGGGATCGATTCGCACGGAAAATACGTGTGGGTTGCTCAAGGTCCGTGTGAAGGTCTTATCGACTGTTGTAAACGTCGCCGAGAATCGCTGGTTACTCTGGATCGTCGACTCGTACAAACGGTGTGTGTGGCGATTCCCGGATGGTTTGCTCACGGGTTTGTACGAGGTGTCTTGATGCTGATAGTCGTTTCTGCTGGCGTTAATATCGCCGAATGTAGCTAAAGACAGGTTGGAAATTTAGTATACTGCTCGTCCGCGTCTGGTTATTCTGGAGGTCCTTCTCTTCTCTTGTCTTCGAGCGTTTTTCTTGTTGAAAACTTGGACGAAAAAATTATGTTCAGAAGAAGGTGTCTGCCTGTTTTGCTTTGCTTTGTTAGAGAACTCTGTATCAAGCTTAATGCTTCTTTTAGAGAGATGGAAGTGAAAAATGAGAGTGATAAGTTTGGGTTGGTATGAGGCAATTACTAAGTCAGTGGTTTTCTAAGAGAGTGTTCTTTCGGAGAAGCCTTTGTACTGATTTCAGAAATATGATTGAAACTTGAATTTTGAATTTTTTGAGTGAGATTGAGTTTGTTTTGTTTCGTGGAGTCTGCAAGTGTCAGGAATTTAAGTGAAAATCTGATAGTGTCGTTTGACACGTACTAGTCTTATCCTGTGATTTGGAGTAGGGTGGTTGATTGTAGTGCCTCAAGTTTTGACCAGCTCGTTCTAGATATGTTGGCTGTCCATACAGCAGTAGGTGATGATTGGTCTGATGTAGGTTTTGAGGATGAATAATTTTGAATTTATAGATAAAGGGCTATCATTTCGCACCTTTTGTTTTTGTGACGATATTTTGAACATGGGAAGAGAAATTTAAATTTTTGTCGATGGTGATTCCCAGGTATTTGATTTTGTGTTCCTATTTAATGGGAGTATCTCCAAATTTGATTAGTTCATCAGCTTGGATTTGTTTGTTGCTAAACATAATTGTTGTGGTCTAGGTTGGATTGATGGAAATTTTCCGCTGATGGAACCACTGAATCGCAATGTTTGCCTGTTGGAAATCGACCAGTATATAAGTTGAGTGCCGTACCGACTACGAATCCCAGGGCTCGCCGCCGAGTCACCCGTGTTTACTGTCGGGACGGATTTGGATGTTACTTGCTGACTTTATAGGTTAAGGCCATAGGGAGGGTCTCGTTATCTTCGTCCTGACCTCCCCTAACCATGGCCGTATTCACAGGGTTGTTATGTGGCCCAGAGAGCTTAAGTTTACCCAAATTCATATACGTACATAAAATAAAGAAAGTTCCCAACATTTCAAAATTTTTTTTTTTTTTGTGTCATAAGGAATTCTTAAGTACAGAAATTATTTTGGTAAAGTTTGTTGCAACAAAACATGAATTTAGTTATTCCTTATTTATTGTTAAAATATTCACCTGAAACACAGATATGAACATAATATAATATCTAAGTATGCAATTAAAATGTATCCATCCTTATGCTTGTAAATAAATACATTAATATTTTTAAATAATTAAATAATGACTATCGGTGATAAAAATAACGAATAACTAAATGAATGTTTTGTTGCATTAAACCTTACAGAAATAATTTCTGTAGGCAAGCAATAATTCCCTATGGACCCAAAAAGTACCATAAAAAAACAAAATATAAATCTTAAACATTTAAATATTTTTTAATAAACTTAAGTTGTCAAAAAAATTAATCAACGTCATAAGACATCGGTGATAAAAATAACGAATAACTAAATGAATGTTTTGTTGCATTAAACCTTACAGAAATAATTTCTGGAGGTAAGCAATAATTCCCTATGGACCCAAAAAGTACCATAAAAAAACAAAATATAAATCTTAAACATTTAAATATTTTTTTAATAAACTTAAGTGGTCAAAAAAATTAATCAACGTCATAAGACATACACTTTCCACGTTGATATATAGTTATAAACAAGTTCAAAATAAACGTATGATTATGAAATTTTATATTTGACTTATAGGGACATATGATAGAGTTTTGATATTTTTTTAAAAAATTTTTTTAATGGGACTTTTGACCCACTAAAATAGCTTTTCAGACCACTGTGCAGTTGAGTTGTAAAATCGAAAAAAAAATGTTCTTATCGGTACAGCTATACTAACAATGTCAAGGATCATACTACAGTGAAAGATAGCCTTCCATCGAAAACACATTATAATTAGTATAAAATATGAATCACAATAACAGACAACTAACTTATTTGCAGTCTTGTAAAGTATTCGAATAAATGTATTCTAATAAAAGTATTCGAATACTTTTATTTATATTTTTTATTCATTAAAAAAATACTTTTTTCCTATCCAGAAAAATAGTTTTAAGTTTGTGACAAGACTTATTATAAATCATGAACATTAATATTTTATTCTTTGAACGAAATATAATATTGGCCATGATATGATTATTTTTATAAACACCAATGTGTTGTATCCCATATGGCTCATATCGGGCGTATCATATGTGGTCGAAATTTATAAATAACTTATAATTACGATGTATTTTTAATTATTAATTAATATATGTTAGTTACTAACCATTCAAAAACTGACAAAAACTAGTTCTAAGAAAAAGTATTCTTATAGTATTCGAATACTTTTTAAGATATTCGAATATGTATTCTGAATATATTTTTTAAGAACTATTCGAATATTTATTCCGAATACAAAATAAAAGTATTCTTTACAAGACTGCTTATTTGTTACCTATAGGCTATAATATTTCTACACGCGCAAGTGTATTATAGCGTGATAATATTATAGTATGTACCAGGTACATTGTACCTATGTCCTATTGCAGGAATGATGATCCAACGAGGGACACGTGGTAGATATTTTCAGTGACACGTCAATTTAAAAATAATTCATAATTTTTACTTCACTTTCTATGGAAAAAATAATGATAGTTGAAAATATTTTAACGTTAGAAATAGTTTTTAAATTATCATAATTTACCTATATTTCTCGGTTCCATGTCACTATTTGTACTGTCAAACATTAAAAATTCGAAACCCAGACACTTTGTACGGTCTTGTAAAAATGTATATTACAGAATGCGATACATATAACCATATGCATATACTTAGTAATATAGTATAAAGTACCTATATAATAAATTAATATAATAAAAACAGGTCTGAAGTCATAACATATTATATTAACAATGCTATAAAGTTTTATAAAATTGTTGACTAAATTGAGATTAGAACTCGTCATTCGTCAATGATGGTTTTGACTATATATAGTTATTATACAATACAATATCGACCATACTATATTATTTTATATTTATCATGACTTTTTAAATTTGTTCATATTGTTATAAGCATTTTTGTTTGAACATTGTGATTTATAACATTTTTTATTAGGTATGTATTTTAAATATTATTTGTCATAACTTATTTATATATTATATTATACTTTATAGGTTTACTATGTATTGTTATAATAGTAAAAAGTGTACGCGATCTGTAAATTGCGATGTAAATTTCTACCAGACCGAACAAATTGTCTGCTTATTAAATGCTTTTTGCATATTAATCAATGAACCGTACGTAGTGACCCTTTAATGTATTTATCTGTCTCGTAACTGTGACTCGATATACTACGACCTTTATGAAGCTTTTTTACGATTGTCATCCATCGCTAAAATGTACTTGTCAACTACTATTTTAACTAACCACCTATTCATTATTCTTTAGAAATAAAATATTGAGAAATTGATAGGTATATTAAAGCCAGAAATCTGATTCTTATTGAGCGGAAAAATTAATTTGAAATTATATGAAAAATCAACAATTTCTTTATTAAAATTGTTTAGAACTACAAATATAGTGTAACATAACGTAACATGACGTAACATGACGTACATATTTTCCTACACGAATTTAATTAAATCAACATTCAGAAATTGTCTTGTGGAAGAGATATTAGTGCAGCACGTATTCAATTGAAATCTACTAGTTTTAATCCCAGGATTGATTCCTAAGCTGGAAAATGCAGCAAGACATTTTTAATTAAAAACTAATTTATTATAAAATTAATAATCCCAAAACATATTTTTTTCAATTTTGTTATTTTAATGTCTAATAATTAAATATATTTTAATGGAAAATATGTGTTCTGTATTCATATTTATACGAATAATAAATAATGTAAAGTTTAAATGTAACAATAAACATGTGGGTGTATTTTTAAATTGCTTGAATAAAGAATTCAAATTTTTTTTTGACACGCAGATATTAAAAGGATTGAAATTCCTAACCTACCCACTTATATAATAGTCTAGCAATTTGTCTGTATAACGCCATTTTAAATTCCTAACCAAATTAATATATTTTGTTACACAACAATATCAACATTGTCTACTGCAGTGAAGTAGACATTAAGATAATCTCTTAGTCATAGTTGTAAATGCATTACCTTACAAATATAGGCAAAATTAGGGGGCTTGGGGGACTTATCAATTCCTAGTTTTATCCGTACCCCTCCCTCAGTTTTTAATCATATTTTAGTTTAAAATATAAATTATCAAAGTTTCTGCTGCTGATACAATTCTAGCCGGCCCAGAAAAATTTCCCTAGTTGCGCCTATTTCCTATGCTAACAAAATATTTAGTTTTTACAGCACTGCCTATATTGCCTATAGAAGCCCTAGCCATTGACGATATCGTCAACCATTGTAAATCATTTACGTTATTGCCTAAATTTTATCATTGATGGTAACATATTATATTATATTAGTATGATAATATTACAATATTATTAAACGGTATTATATTAGGAAGCTTTATTTTAGGTACTAGTTGGTACTTTAGGGGGTAAAACTTGAAGTAGTATCTCAGTAGTATTCAAAATCGGGGTGAAAAACAACATAAAAATTAATGAAAAACGGGAATTTTTAGACTAATATCTATTTTTGAAAAAATCGATTTTGGTTATTGGTGCAACTTTTAAACAAATGACCGTAAGTACATGCAATTTTGACTAAATGTTTATATTAGCATTTTCTATACACGATAACATTTTCAAAGTGTTTTGATTTATGTTGAACTGTTTAGGCACATTTTAATTTTCCATTTTTTTTAGTTTTTTTCTAAAAATATCAATAAAATTTTATTTGTTGGTTAAAAAAGCTTGGAAATTTAATAGAAGGCTCCTAGTATATTTTTTCAAAGGTAGATGAAAA